CCTCTCGCGGGGCTCAGTGTCCCAGCGCGCGCGCCCCATGTGCGCTCCTCTTGCAACAATTCCCGATCTTAAAACCAAAGCTACAACCTGTAAAGAGGAACCTGCCGGAGCCCCCCGGAAAGTTCCCGTAGATCGCCGAGCTGGGGAGCCGCCCAGCCAGTGTGGTGGGGCCGGCCCGGACGAGGCCGTGGCACTCCCGCCCCGAGTCTCGCGCTGGGATTGATCCCCGTGCCCAGCACGCGGGACCGTGACTGTGGACCTGATGCAGCCGTACAAAGGCGGCGTCCGGACCTGCAGTTAAGTGAAAGAGCCAAGAGAAGTAACTAGAACGTAATCCTCCTCGTCTGGTTCTTGTAGAAAGTTGTTCTGGGTGGCACGCACGCTAGACAGGCCCGGAGCAGCTCGGGAAGGAGACTCAGGAGTGAGTACAAAGCGGTGTTGGCAACGGTCTCCAATGGAGACGAGCCTTGTACGATTTCAGATTTTCCCCTCGTGTATGTATCAGAACATTTTGTGATCAAATAGAAGAGCTCGGCATCGCTGTTTCACCTAGGAGTCTGCAGTGCATCCTTTGCGGCACCGACACGACTGGGAGGGCGGGGGCGATGGGGGAAGCGCACCCCTGCGGCCTTGGGTCAACGCTGAGCAAGTAGGCAGAGCTTGTGTGCAAGACCGGGGAAGCGCTTTGCGGTTGCTCCATCTGGGCAGAGACACCCAAGGACAGAGGGACAGATCGCTGAATTTGGGACGGGGAGAAACTTAGGGATGTTTCCCTAATCCACATCTGAGTTCTTTGTGCACATGTCCTTTTCCGAGAAAAATAGTTCGAAAACTAAGACTTAGAGCCTTAAAACATGCCCCAAATGGGAGCTTTGTCAGCATCTACGTTCCAGAGAAGGCCCTTCCAGCAAGGGCCAGGAAACCCGAGACCAGGCGGAGTGTTTCAGTGTCCCCAGCCTGATCCACAGAACCTCATAACGCCAGAACCTCATCCCGTGGGGAGGGAGAAGCTGAGACAGATACCTCTGCTGACAGATGGGAAGCCCTAAATTTCCAGCCAGGTGAAATATAAGGGTCCTGTGGTGGTAAATAAGTTAGTGAACATTTCTCATTCCAACTCCTTTATTTTTACAGGAAAAAACCAAGGGTCAGAAAGGCTAAATGACTACCCTTGACACTCACCCCTGCATCACAAGATCAGAGATGGACCTAGGACACCTGCTGAACAGTCTGTGCCTGCCAAGGCCCCTCCTTCTCCCCACAGTCAACTAGCAGGACGGGGGAATGAAACAGTTCGTTTAAAACACAGTATAAACCCAATGTCCTGGCACATACCTGTACTCCCATCACTTGGGAGGCTGAGGCAGGAAGATCACGAGTTTGACACCAGCCTGGACAACAAGGCAGGACCCTGTCTCAAAAAGGAAAGGGAAATACAGGGATCCATAATGTGATCACAGTTTCCCCACTGTTTGCTAGGGAGCCAAAGTGGGGAGGAGTATCCAAGAGTTACTGTGGGTAATGTGGTCCGAGAGGGATTTGCAGATTGTGTATAATGAACAAGGCATCGGTCGTTGGATGCCACAGTACAAAAAAAGCAACTAAGTTTAATAAGTTTAAAGGGTGAAGTTATGCTGTGAGTGAACGGGTTCATGCCAGCAGAAAGGAAAACAGCACAAACGGAAAAGAAGAATGGCAGGAGTTTAGCTCCCAAGCTTCTGGGTTTGGAATTTCAATAATCTATGACAGTGGGCCCAGGGGTCCTTTTCTTACCTCTGCCTCAGGTAGAAGCCCTTATGGCAAAGGTGGGGAGGATGGCCCTGGGGCATTGCCTGGTCAGAGATTGGAGGGGGAGTAGTTCAACAGCCCGAACTGTACTATCCACATTAAAAAGCTCCTTTCCTGACACTCACTCCTGCTTTTACTGCACAATATCAAAATGAAGTAGAAAAGAAGAAGTTAAAAAATAGGCAGAAGGGAGACAAAGTCATAATTCTGTTTTGTTTTTTTGTCACATGGTCTTGAAAGCTGGTTTTGAACTCCTGGCGATCTTCCTGTCTCTGCTTCCTCCCTCCACCTTATTCGCTCCTGGTATCATAATAATTTTGGCATCAAGTTCATTTCTTATCTAAAATGGCATGTGATTTGTAGTTAGTAAGGTGAGGAAGTCTCGCGACTTTTTAAACCCTCTCTTATGTTCCTTATGTATGTCACAGGTCCCTAGATAGGAAGATCTTTGAGGTGAATTTTGAGTAAAGCCCAGCTGTGTGTACAACTCCTTTTTCCTGCTTTCCCAATCTTTTGATGAAGGTTGGAGTGGCTGTGTGCCACAAACGAGGATGATCGTCCTGGGCTTAAGCAATAGATTTCTGCATGACTAGCAGGGAGGCCAGGACTAGTCAGTAACAGAAAACAGGGCACAGCTGCCAATCATAGGTGCATCTCACTCTGGAAGAACAGAGAGCTGCACCCCCCAGGCAACTCTGGCTCTGGGGTAACAGAGCAGAACCCCCTGCCAAGATCCAACTGTGGGGTAACATAGAGGAGCTGTCCCCCTCACGGTTCTGTAAACCTGTTAAAATCCAGCCTCTTTCTGTCTTTTAGAGTCTTCCCCATCTGCTGCCATTTACAAAGATAGTTTTTCAGGGGTTTGTTTGTTTGTTTGTTGTTTTTTGAGACAGAGTTTTACTATTTAGTTCGAGCTGGTCTTGAACTCACTATGTAGCCCAGGCTAGCCTTGACCTTGCAGTGATTTTCCTGCGTCAGCCTGCCGGGTGCTGGGCTTACAGGTGGGCACCACCATACCCAGCAAAGATAGTTTCTTAAAAGATGTATTTTTTTGATGCATCATGAAAATGCATTTCTCACCCACCAGCTCTTGGCACTGTTTTCTAGAAAGGATTTTTCCAGAGAAAAGGGGACAGCTCTGAAGCCAAGCAAATGAGTTCCCTACCATCCTCTCTGCAGCCCTAATTGAAAGTGTTTAAGCTTTAATTTGAATAGTCAAGTCTATTCATAAGTAATGAATGATGAAACTCCATAGCTGCCAAAGCCTCAATTATGAAATGAGGCTCCTGAATTGGAACCCAGCAACCATGGTTGCTGCCCAGTAGGAGAAAGATCTTCCATCCCAGGCCTCTGTTCTCTTTGATGTACAAAGGACTCCAAATATTGAGGACTCGAACTGGATGTCCTATTTCACAGGATCTACAGTCTAAAGAGCTGTGTTCATAATTTGAACTTTTCCTATAACCTTACCCATGCCCTACTGTGACTGCCAGGGCTGTCTGTCTCAGTGAGATCAAGTCCATGCTGCTTTACCTGACTTCAAAGCCCACCATACACTCACCCAAACTGCCTGTTACACTAGGTCATCTGCTAGTCCCAGGGTTATAGGACTCTTTTTCCATCCATCCAATCTCCCATAGTGACAGAATCCTGCCTAGGGATGTGCCACTAGATATGTGCCCTATAGTCTATGTTTGCCAAATCCATTTTTATTTTTATTTTTTGTCTTTTTGAGACAGGGTTTCACTATATAGTTCAAGCTGGCCTAGAACTCACTTCGTAGCCAGGCTGACTTCAAACTCACAGCAATCCTCCTGCCTCAGCCTCCCGAGTGCTGGGATTACAGGGGTGCATCGCCACTCCCGTTCTTATTCATTTGTGGAAACCTAAAAAAGCCATCTCGTAGAAGAGAGTGGAATAGTGGTCACTAGAGACTAGGAAGAGTGTGGTGGAGGGGGTTGAGAGGGGTTAGAAACGGGTAGCAAAGCAGTTAGCTAGGAGGAACTAGCACTGGACAATCTATAATATATTTCAAAATAACTGGAAGAGTCTGGAGTTCCCAACATATAGAAGTGATAGCTGTTTAAGAAGGTGGAAATGCTATTCACCTTGATTTTATCATTGCATATCATATACAGGTATTACACTGTACCCTAAATATGTACAAATGGTATGTCAATGTTATATTTTTAAAACATTTAGGGGCTGGGGATTTAGCTCAGTGGCAAAAGCGCCTGCCTGGCAAGCGCAAGGTCGTGAATTCGGTTCCCGGTACCGGAGAAAAACCAAAAAAAAAAACAACAAAATAAAACATTTAAAATTTCTTGAAAAGAGGAGATTGTGCTACTTCTTAAGAGAAGATTTGGCAGGTGGAAACCACAAGGGAAGCACACAGTTGGGGTCTGCTTTAGGAATCTACCTCGGGCTGGGGTGGGGGTGTCCAAGCTGTGAAATGCGTCTGTTGGCCGGCAGGGGTCCTCAGTGCGGGAGAGACAGCTGGAGTGGACTCTAGCCAGACTGTGAAGGGCTCTTGCTGTTCTCTCAAGGAATTTGGACTTCACACTAGTGCTGATGAGAATCTCCAATCAGCGCTTAAGATGTGTTTTGACGTAATCACCTTGCTACAGTACGGATGATAAAATGAAAAAAGATTCAAGAACACATTTTTAAATATAGATATATGCATTATTATATTTTAGGTTGAGGAGTACTATGAATTAAATTGATACAGTTAATGTAACCTAATAGGCTAAGAAG